CGATGATGATTGATGAGATATCTTTTTTTTTTTATGATTTCAGCGATGATGATGATGTATATGATGATGATGATGATGATGATGATGATGATGATGATGATGATGACGATGATGACGATGACGATGATGACGATGATGACGATGATGACGATGGGAAGAGGGAGGAGGGCGAGGAGGAGGAGGAGGGGAACGCGGGGCACCGTCTCTTCAAAACGAGGACCCAACACCACATGACGGTTGGGAATGATATGCGCCGCCTGCAATCCCGTCACGTCCATTGGGAGGAGAGGGCGCCAGAGGGAGGGTGGCACAAACGCGGATGGAGGAGGAGAAGGGGGGAGGAGGAGCAGGAGGAGGAGGGGCAGTAAGATGAGTAAGAAATTCCGCATGGGGCCACGAAGCGCTGTCCCTGGTGGGGGACCCGCATGCGAGTGTAGCCACTGGGAGCTTCGGTGGAGCTCCCGATGAGGCCACGAAGCGCTGTCCTGAGAAGCGGAGCCGCATGCGAGTGCAGCCACTGAGGCCTTCGGTGGAGCTCCCTATGGGGCCGCGTAGCGCTGCCCTGGGTGGGGGGACCGCATGCGAGTGCAGCCAATGGGGCCTTCGGTGGAGACTCCATACAGAGCCACGGAACGCTTGTCTGAGCGGGGGAAGAGCACGCGAGTGCAGCCACTGTGGCTTCCAGCTGAGCTCCAGACGGGGCCACGACACGCGTGGGGGAACCGCACGCGAGTGCAGCCACCAGGGTCTTCGGTGGAGCTCCCGACGGGGCCACGTAGCGCTGTCTTGGGTGGAGGAACCGCATGTGAGTGCAGCCACTGGGGCCCTCGGTGGGGCTCCCTACGGGGCCACGTAGCGCTGTCCTGAGTGGGGGAACCCATGCGAGTGGAGCCATTGGGGCTTTCGATGGGGACCTCTTTGGAGACGCGAAACGCAGTTCTGGATGGGGAACCGCATGCGAATGCAGCCGACGGGGCTTTCGTTGAGCCCCCATGCAGCCCCGAAACGTTCTCCTGGGCGCGGGAGGCGCATGGTGGAGGAGGGAGGAGGGAGGAGGGGGACAAGGAGGAAAGGAGGAAGGAACGCCGGGCACTGTCTGTCTTCTCAGAACGAGGGCCTAACACCACAGGGTGGTTGGGAGAAACGAACGCGCACATTCGCATAGCGAGACCCTATGCCCACTGCGGCCGCGAACGTTCTTCGCGGCGTGATCCACCCAGAGCAACCGCTCCGCTTTCGCACGCGCACAGTAAGACACCCCTTCAGCACTCTTCTTGAGCGCTCGCTCTGGCAGATAGTTCACCAGGGCACCGCCCAAGTGGCCCATGGCATCTACAATTCCGCGTCCGTCTTCGCCTCACCAACTTCCGCAGTGCGGTTCCTCTTGCTTGCAGGCCCCGCGACGCTCTGGTCTTGCAGGCGAGTCGGTCTTTGGGCGATTCCCCAGAAAGTTCCGATTCGGCCGCTGGCAGCGTCTCAATGGTTTGATGTCACCAAGCGTCTGTGCCGCAATGTGTTACAATGGTGCGCTGTTGCGCCAGGATGTTGCTCCGAACTGCCCACTCTACGGCTCCGTTGTGCCAACTTGGTTCTGCGCGGCGCCCCTCCCGATGGGAGATTCCTTTGTTGTTACGCATCGTTGCGCAATTAAGTGCGTTTGGTTGTGTGTTTGAGCGGCCTCTTGCTGTCTCAGCGGCGGTTTGGTTGCCCCCCCCCGCTTCCGCCACCCCCAAGTGGAGCTGCATGAGAGGAGGAGAAGGAGGAAGAGAATGAGGAGGAGGAGGAGGAGGAGGAGGAGGAGGAAAAGGAGGAGGAGGAGGAGGAAAAGGAGGTAGGAGGAGGGTGGGAGTGGGGCGGAGGGGGGCGAAGGGACGGAGGGCAAAGGGCAAGGCGTGGCAGGGGGCCCTCATTTCCAGACTTCAAGACCGCACCCCCCCCTCCCCTCCCTGCTCGCCTCCCCCCCCCTGCTCGCCCTCCCTCCCCCTTTCCACGGTGGCACGAGATGAGTCTCGTGCTATCCCCCCCCTCTCTCCCCTGCTTCTGTGCCGTTCCCGGCCGCCCACCCCCCGCACACGGGGCCTGTCCCTGTGGCTCGTCCCTGCCCCTGTGGCTTTGTCTTGTCGTGCAGGCTCTCGGGCGGGCCCTATCCCCCCTCACTCCCTCCTTCCTCCCCCTCCCCTGCCTCCTCCTCCTCCTCCTCCTCCTCCTCTTTCCTCAGTATTCGTGACTGGTATATCTTCTTGTGGGCCCCCTGTTTGTAGTCGCTGCACCCAATCCCCCCCCCCTCCTCCTCCTCCCTATCCTCCCCCTCCTCCTCCTCCTCCTCCACCTCCTCCTCCTCCCGTGCCCGTGGCTTCTGCAGTCGGACCGCCTTCGGCCCCCAGACCGGAAGCTCCACACGCAGCGCTGGCTGCACTCCAGGATCGGCGCCCTGCCCCCGTCGCCCAGAGCGGCGCTCTCGCGCCAGCGCGGGCGACGCTGCTGGATCCGATCCCTTCGGCGCTGCCATCGCCCTCTGCTTCCCTCCTCGGCCGTTCCCTGGTCATCCTGCTCCTCCTTTAAGTCCTGCTCCTCCTGCCGGTCATCCGCCTCCTTTCTCATCATCCTGGTCTTGGTCCTGCTCGTCCTCCTGCTCATCCGCCACCTGCTCCTTCTCGTGCAGTGTGCACGCCCCCCTGTCTGACTAGGCGTCACACGGCGAGACGCAGGGATTATTTTGAAGATCAAATTCTTCCAGGACGTCCCAGCTGGCGGATGGAAACAACTTCAGCGCAATACGGAAGGATGGGGGGGGATTTCAGATATGCCGCGAGTGCACGTAGCTTGTCCTCGTCGACTTTCCCCCTCCCGTGCGTTGTTCCCCTGCTCCTCCTCCTCCTCCTCCTCCTGCTCCTCCTCCTCCTCCACCCCGAGGGAGGAGGAGGGGGATGGGGCACTGGAGGGGGGCACGGGAAGCGACGAGGTGGAGGCGGGGAGAAGAGGGGGAAAATGGGCATGGGGCACCGGGGGGCGTGGGCGTGGCGGCCATATGGAAGCGGGGGCGAGGAAGGGGAGGTGGTGACTGGGGCCCTGTAGAAACCGGAAGAATCCCGAGGAGGCCAGTCTAAGACCTCTCAGTCGGGGGGTGCTGAAGGTGCGACTGACCCAAGGTACCCTCCCAGCTTTTCGCTCAATGTTGAAAGCCCTGGGGCCCGGTTGGGGGCTCTGGAGGCCTCGTGAGGGGGGCTCTGGAGGCCTCCTGAGGGGGGCTCTGGGGGCCGCCGGGGCAACACCCGACTCGGAAACACAACATGAAACTCCAAAGGGCCAGCCGGAACCTGTTCTTTGGAAGTCTCAGAAGCACCATGGATTTTAGAAGCGCCCGGGGGCCTGAACCGTGCAAGGAGTCGTGCCCGTTGGGGTGCCATCCGTCCTCTTGGGGTCTCACTCGTCCCGTGGGGGTCTAACAATCTCTCTTCGTGGCATGGGGGGAACGGGTCCTGAGGGGAACGGGTCCTGGACCCTGGGGCCTTCCCCCAGGACGCCATTTTTCATCCCGAGTCGTTCCCCGACAGTCCAGGGGCTCTCGGAGGGCCCCGAGAGCCCGCAACCGGCGAAAAACCTCCAGGCCCGTTCCCCTCAGGACCCGCTCCCCCCCACGGCGATCCGCGGGGGGCCGCCGAGGGCCGTCGGGGGCCTGCGAGGACCGCCGACAAGCCGCCGAGGCGCGCCGACGGGTGCCGAGGGCCGCCCGGGGGCCTCCCGGGGGCCGCGGGGCGCCGCCGAGGGGGCCGAGGGCGCCTCCGAGGGCCACCGAGGTCGGGGGCTGCCAGGAAGCAGCTCGGAGCTCCAGCGGCGGGCACGCTTTCCACCACCGCCACCATAAGCGGGAGGGGGATGGGGTCCTCCTCCTCCTCCTCCTCCTCCTCCTCCTTCCTACTCCTCCTCCTCCTCCTCCCCCCTCCTCCCTCCTCCTCCTCCTCCTCCTCCTCCTCCTCCTCCTCCTCCTCCTCCCCCACCCCCTCCCCCGCAGGACCCCGCAGGCCCCGCAGGTACCGCAGGCCCCGCAAATGTCGCAAGCCCGGCAGGTCTTTCACGCAGGTGCCACAGGCTTCACAAGTCCCAGGGGCCCCACAGGCCCCACAGGCCCCACAGGTCCCACAGGCCCCACAGGTCTCAGGCCTCGCAAGCCCCCGGGGCAGAGGGGCGAACCCTGTGGGGGGAACTCCATGGGCCATGGGGGGCGAATTCATTGGGGGGAACCCTGTAGAGCCGGGTTCACCAAGGCAGACCAAGCTTAGCTGGGCCCACTAGAGCTTGGCAGAGCTAAGCAGAGCTGGGCATGGCGAAGCAAAGCTAAGCAGAGCTGACCAGGGGTTTCCCAAATCTTAGCAATGCGTGGCACATAATCCAGGGCGTGCACTTACCAGGACTGACGAGGCAAATCTGGCCAACAAATGGCAGACTGGAAAGGGGGACAGGAAGAGAGAGAGAGAGAGAGAAACAAAAGAGAGAGAGGGGAAACAAACAAAAATGAAGGTTGATGATTTTTTCTTTTGATATGAACGGAGAGAGTGGAACATACGACAAATTTCTCCACTCTCTGGAGCACAAGGTACTCCTCCACAATCCACCAAAACCTCTCCCCGTCTCCCCCTCCCTCTCCTTCCTCTTCTCCTCCTCCCGCCCCGCCCTCCATCTCCTCCCCCTCCCTTTCACTTTTCTCTCCTCCCTCCCCTCCCTCCCCTACCCTCCTTCCCCTCCCTCTCCTCCCTCCTGTTTATCCTCCCTCCTCCCTCTTCCTTCCTTTCTCCTCCATCCTCCTCTTCCTCCTCCTTCCTCCTCCTCCTTCCAACCCCTCTTCCAACCCCTCTTCGTCCTCCTCTCCCTCCTCCTCTCCTCCTCACCTTCCCCCCCCCTTTTCCTCCTCCTCCTCCTCCTCCTCCTCCTCCTCCTCCTCCTCCTCCTCCTCCCTGTTCCTTCTTTCCTCCTCCCTCCTCCCTCCTCCCTCCTCCCGCCAGTCCGGCATCTTCTCCGACGGGCTGCGCTCGGCCCGCACGGCGCTGATGGTCACGGGCGGCATGTGCAGCAAGCTCTTCGGCCTGGGGACGCCGGCCCTCTTAACGGGGGGGCGCCGCCCTCCACGGGGCCTCGCCGTCGATCGGAGGAAGGAGCAGCCTAAGACATGCTCGCGCCGACCGCAACCATTTTGGCTCAAGCCGCCTTGCCTCCACACGACGTGCCCCGGTGGACGCTCATCCAACACACTCCCTCCGCGCTATTAGCATCCATACCCAGACACGCGACGTTCTGAGTTTTTCAGGACGGCGTCCCCGGAACTGCTGCGTCGTTTTGTTGACGCTCCCAGGGCCCGGCGACGGCCCCCAGGGGCCGAACGTTGCGAAACCACGCCCGTCCTGCTTGATCTTCGACGCGATCATGTCTGGGTGCACATACTACTCCGGAGCCTCCGGAGCTACGCCAGCATGCGTCCGCTGGTGCTCCTGGCGGTGGCGCCCGCGCTCCACAGGGGCGCGTGGGCGCTGACGCGGGGCCGGCCGGGCGCCGACCCTGGCGAGGCGCGGGTCAGCGCCGAGGTGGGCGTCGCCTGCCGTGCGGCCCTGGGGCTGCCGGGCTGCTCGCGCGACGGGGCGGCCTCCCCGGGCTGCTTCGACTACGACGCCCTGGCGGAGGACATGGGCGAGCTGGGCCTCGGCGCCGCGGGCTGCGCCAGGGCGCGCCCGGTGGGCGCTCGCGCGGGCGGCGACCCCCTGGCCCACGATCCCGTCGAGGGGAAGGTGCCTCGCGCCAACGT